GTATAGGACAGTTAGACAAGTGGATATACGGTTCGTGTATAGGACAGTTAGACAAGTGGATATACGGTTCATGCATATGTTAGTTAGACAAGTGGATATACGGGGCATGCATCGGTCAGTTAGACAATTGGATATACGGTTCGTGTATAGGACAGTTAGACAAGTGGATATACGGTTCGTGTATAGGACAGTTAGACAAGTGATCACATATATCATGATCAGTAGTTCGGACAGTAAATATTTGAATCATTTTAATCATTAAATATCCAGCTTAAATAACTGAGGTTTGGACACTTGGAGTTCTGACACGACATGTATTATCGGTGGTTTGGACACTTGAGTCCTGACATGACATGTGTCTGTGGTTTGGACACTTGAGTCCTGACACGACATGTATATCTGTGGTTTGGACACTTGGGTTCTGACACGACATGTATGTCGGTGGTTTGGACACTTTAGCTCTGACACATAGATACTAAGTGTATGTTAAAAATACTCAATGTTACTAAGTACAATGTTGAGAAATTGTACTAATAGGGCTCGAACCTTCATAATTATGTTTTTCAAGTACATGCTCTAATTAACCAAACTATTGAACAAATGAGTCTTCAACCCCATTCATTGAATTATTAATCAAGAAAAATTGCTGGACTTTTCATTCTAAATCAGTAGGTCTTAAAATATTTGAACTATTATTCCTCTCGAATTTCAACTCTTTAAAACTTACCAATAGTCATCAAATGCCCATCATCTGCTTATTTAAAATCAGATTTAAAACTTAATACGTGAATGAGCAACATGTTAACGTGTATAATTATATACTCGGGATTAGCATTAAAGGTTTTTCGGGCTTGGACATCGTATACTGTCATGTAAATGTTGCCATAAAACAACGCGTAAGGTGTAGACATCGTATACTGTCATGTTAATGTTTCCATAAAACAACGCGTAACGTATACTGTCATGTAAATGTTTCCATAAAACAACGTGTAAGGTGTACACATCGTATAATGGAAACATTTACATGACAGTATACGATGTGTACACTTTACACGTTGTTTTATGGAAACATTTACATGACAGAAAACAACGTGGAAAGTGTAGACATCGTATACTGTCATGTAAATGTTTCCATAAAACAACGTGTAAGGTGTACACATCGTATACTGTCATGTTAATGTTTCCATCGAAACAACGTGTAAAGTGTAAACATCGTATACTGTCATATAAATGTTTCCATAAAACAACGTGTAAGGTGTAAACATCGTATAATGTCATGTAAATGTTTCCATCGAAACAACGTGTAAAGTGTACACATCGTATACTGTCATGTAAATATTTCCATAAAACAACGTGTAAAGTGTAGACATCGTATACTGTCATGTAAATGTTTCCATAAAACAACGTGTAAGGTGTACACATCGTATACTGTCATGTAAATGTTTCCATCGAAACAACGTGTAAGGTGTAGCTTAAATTTAAGTTAAACGAACATCGTGAGGAAAGACATTTCGTTGGATCTGTTCTACTTTGATAAGATTAGAAAAACAACATTTTCTTATTATGTCTGGTAAAGCTAGCCGAAGGTGATTTGATTACAGATGTTTTCCGATGAACAAAACACCACATTCGTGGATAATTAAATTTTCTCAAAGTAAATCTGATTCTTCTAGCTTCAGGAACTGTTACTGGCTACGTCAGCTACAACGCCTAGAATCACGTGACTTAGTCTAATATTTGTACTATCGCGTGACGTTGTTATTGGATGAACAAATATAAGTAGTGAACTCAAATATTCAAACGATCAACGTTCGAAGACTGATCAACGGTTTTAAAGGATACTCAACAGTGTCTGTTCTAAGGTCGTTGACTGGTCAAAAAATATGTTTTTAATTGTGTACTGAAAAAATGTTGATCGTTTGAATATTTTAATTACACCTTTACAAGAATTGAATTTTTAACCTTTTCATGTCAGTGGGGGGTCGTTCTGGAACCTGTTTACAGAGACATAAATCTAAACTAACTTGACCTCTGAACTTCTTTTCTGTTTGATATAGAACGAAAAGGAAAAAGGAAATTTTAGATATAGCTAATATTTCTATTAAATATCTGCCTTATGCTACGACTTTTGCGTTATAATTACCAGGGTTTTTAGTTAAACTCATGCTGTGTATTATTGTTTAAATTTCGTGATTGAATGATAATAATATCTGTTTCCAGCTCCGTAACCTTATCTTAGTTTATCAGATTCTATTGTATCATTGTTGAATGGTAATAATATATGTTTCCAGCTCCGTAACCTTATCTTAGTTTATCAGATTCTATTGTATCATTGTTGAATGGTAATAATATATGTTTCCAGCTCCGTAACCTTATCTTAGTTTATCAGATTCTATTGTATCATTGTTCAATGGTAATAATATATGTTCCCGGCTCCGTAAATTTTCACCAGATTTATCAGATTCTGTTGTACTAGCAGAGACCCACAAGACATTTGCGCTCATGATTTCTAGAATAATACAAAATAATTCTTACCGCAGACAGCGAAATCTTGTCATACGTATCTTACGTGTCATTATGTCTTATAAGCATGCGCAGTAAGAATTTTACCCAGAAAAACAGTGCAAGCGCCTGCCTGCGCCAGAGAGCTGAAAAGCTCAACGAACAAGTCATTGCAACTGCTCTGTGAATAAAGGAATAACAGAATGAGGTGGAAATAAATATTCTTTATTAACCATTTAGTACAATAACATTAAAAGCTTGAAATTTTCCAAAAGGTATGATGTTAGGTTCTAGAATAATATTATAAGTTTATTTATAAATAGTTTTAAGTAAAGTATAGTTTAGTCTTAACTAATGTATAAAACGTACACAGTACAATGTTAATTTATCTCTTTATCGAACTTAGGTTAACATTAGTTAAGGTTTTATTACGTATGACCTAAGCACAAGTGGACTTGTGGACATACATTTCGTTTCTATTATTCTACAAATCTTGTATTTAAAGAAATACTGTTGCAATAAACATATTAATTTCACAGCAGACGTATCTCTGCTAGCAAACTTAAATAAGTTTTAAATAAGTTATTTTATATGGGGTTATATGTTTCTGTGGGTAATTATAAAAATAAAAGAAGGAAAACAACTTTTAAATATGTCTTTGACTGGCTGTAAAAACACACCAGAAATGCATGCATAAAAATGTATTTTATGTAGATTAACTATTAATTTAAAAGTGTTTCTTTGTGGAATAACAGTGAAAACCTGAAATTCGTGGTAAAACAAATATTTTTTTTTGAGAAATAGCCGTTAATTTAAAAGTATTTCCCTATAGAATAACAGTAAAAAGTACTAAAAATACAGACTAAAACATCTATTTTAAGGTAGAAATGAACGGTCAATTGTTGTGAAGTTAACAGAAGACACAGTGAATTAGTCAAAGGTTCTGAACGTATTCTACAGTAAAAGGTTTGGATTTTGTTTGTTTGTTTTTGAATTTCTCGCAAAGCTACACGAGGGTTATCTGCGATATCCATCCTTAATTTAGCAGTGTAAGACTTGAGGGAAGG